TCAACAAGAAAATAATATTTATAGCCATCACTCGAAATCGGTAAGTATAAATACGTATTTTTAATTTCGTTTTTAGTTAAATTAGTATATTGTTTGAATCTTAAAATCTTATTTCGACGTAGGCAGATAAATTATTACAGTTTTAAATGGATGTATTATTTTTTTTTAGTAAAAACGAGGAAAAAATTCATTTGTATGCATATCATTTCAGAAAAAATTGACGCGAAATCGAAAAATCAAGTAGACAGCCGGCCTAGACGGTCTGGCCAGATGTTAACAGACGGCTCGGACGTTGCTGACCCGTACGTCCGAGACAGTTGTTAACAACCAGCTTGGACTATTTGGGCCTTTCTTTATCCCATTTTTCCCAGTTTTAGCCGGGCCTAGTATTTTTTGTCGTCCTTTTATTCTCGTAATTACAATTTTTTAATAAATGATGTTTTTTAATGCAGATATAGGATCAGCTGGAGTCCAAATTTGTCACTTTGGTAAATTTGAAAAGAATAAAAATAATCGATGGGTGTGGAAATGGACAAGTGAAAGACATGGAATTGAGTATATTATATGCAGAAATGTACAATGAGGTACAGAACTTGCTCAAAGGTGATCCCTCTCAGTACGACACGGAATTGAGATTTCTAATAAGAAAGCATACATCCAGAAATGTACGATTTCTATTTGCATAACTTTGATGAAGAAGAATGTCTCCAAGAGTGAACATGAAAATTTCGATGGAGGGAATCGTAATGTGAATGAGTTTTAGAACACGGTGAAGATAGTTCGCAAAAATAATGTAACTATTCTAGAGACAGTTGTTTCTCACCATGATCTCACTGTTACGCACAGAATTTTCTCGATAGTTCGAGACAATGAAAAAGATAATGACTTTACAAATGAGAATTTGATTGCTTTATCTCTTCTGAGACATGTGTCGAGTGGGAGCTCACAGGCTAGACGAGTGCACGATCCTCTAATTGTTCGTGTGTAGTTCTCGGTGATGAAGATTTGTATGTCGAGCAACTGTTTGACAGGCAGAAAGATTTACAGGAAGTTGTTAACCGAATTGCTTGGAAACACAATTTTGAATTTTAAGTGAAGAAATCAAACAAGTCAACTTACACAATTGTTTACGTTGACAGCAGTTGTCATTGGCGTTTGCGAGTGACGAAGATGGATACGAACGAGTTCTTTGCAGTTCGTAAGTATGCATGGGAACATACTTGTGAATTGGGTATTCGTCGAAATGATCACAAGCAAGCCCAATTATGGTTCATTGGTCGAGAAATAATGCACAAGTTTCAGGATCTACGAACCATTTATTGACTTTCAGACATCATTAATGACATTCGTCGAAAGTACGGGGTAGTCATGAGCTATCAGAAGGCTTGGAAGGTTAAAAAATGTGCACTAAAGGACTTGATGGGTTCAACTGAGGAAAGTTATGCTAAATTGGCCAGGTATTTCATTGTTTAGATGTTTATTTAATATTTATTTTAATTGTTAATTATTTAATTCAATTGTTATTTAATGTCTAATTAATTATTTAATCCAATTGTTTATTTTTATGTTTATTTCATATTTAAATTATGATTATTGTTTATTTAAATTGGTCAAGTATTGCTATAACATGGGAAAAATTAATATTCGATTGGCATTTTTTATTGAGAAGGATGACGAGAATTGCTTCAAGTATTTTTTCATAGCGCTTGGATAATGTGTTCGAGGATTTCGAAACAAAATGCAACCCCTAATCCTAATCGACGGTACAACCCTTAAGGCTAGATACGGAGACAAGTTGATTATTGTAGCATGTCAAAATACTAACATCCAAATTTACTCTATTGCATTTGGCATAATCGACGGAGAAAATGATCTAGTGATGCTTTGATTTTTCAAGAAGTTGAGAGAAGTAATTGGGGATGTCGAGAACCTTGCATTCGTAACCGACCGAGGGCAGTCAATAATAAATGGTATTGTCGAAATCTTCCCCAAGGCACATCATGGTTATTATATATACCATATACAGGAAAACTTGAAAACTAGGTATCGAGGTAATGACATCGTTACGTTGTTTATGAGAGCTATAGAGGCTTATAGTTTTCAAGAGTTTGAGAATTTCATGGTCGAAATAAAAAGTAAATCATATGCTGCATGGGAGTATCTAATAGAGATGAGGATTGAACATTGGACACGATTATATTTTTCAGGACTTTGATACAACATGATGACGTCGAACAATCCGGAGTCGCTCATGCCTTATTCAAGAAGGATCGAGACTTACCAATTCTTGCAATGATTGAGAACATTCGTGACAAGCTATAACAGTGGTTTCATAATCAACGTGAAGAATCACAGAATTACACAAGTGTGCTAACCTCAGCTTAGGAAAATAAACTCTTCAAGACTTCAAAAGTGGCGAGAAAGGTATATGTAGAACCACTTGATCAGTTTCGCTTCTCCTTGAGATGTGCACATAATTTTAGATACATCGTGGACTTGAATGATAACACGTGCACGTGTAGACAGTTCCAGTTGAAAAGTTTTTCATGTACACATGCAGTAGCAGTGACTATATATAGAGGATTTTCATCATACACCTTATGCAGTGTTTATTATATGACTCATTATTGGAAAGCAGCATATGCCGAAACAATATTTTCTGTATCAAATGAAGTCGAGTGGGAAGTTTTCGACTACATTCTCTCACTGAATAATTTGTTGCTACCAGCAGTCGGACTACATATTCCTGGACGTACACGTACGTCTAGAATACCATCTATCGAAAAAAATTTCTAACCTTGAAAGTGTGGTGCAACAGTGCATAGTAGAAGATTTTGTACAAGTTAGATTCCTCTGCATGACAATGTAACAAATGTGTAATTGTTGACAATGTAATATTAATTTCGATTACCAACTTTAATAAAATTTAACATTTGTTAATAAAATATTAACAATGTAATTATTTATAATATTGGTTTAACATTTTTAATTATTTATTTTAATTATTAGATTTAGTTTTTTATTTAAACATTTCATTAATTATTTTCATTGGTTATGCATATTATTTATGTCAAATATTTATTTAATTATTAGATTTAATTTTTTTATTTAAATATTTCATTGATTATTGGTTATGTTAATTATTTATTTTAATTATTAGATTTACTTTTTTATTTAATATTTCATTGGTTATGTTAATTATTTCTTATTTACTTAAATAAACAATAAACACAAATAATTAACATAATTCATGAAATATTTAAATAAAGAAATCAAATAAACAAATGTTATACAATTGTTGTATTGGAACACCATTCAATATTTAATCTGATGATGAGTGCAAATTCGAATATGAAAAATGTAGCAACCTTGCCCTTAAAATCAAAGTGGAGGACATTTTCGTCAACTAGTTTAAGCAGTTAACATAGTAATGAATCGAGCAACTATCCAGAAAACTGTACAAAACGCAGGGAATATAGGGGCCATAAACAAAATTGACGTAATATCTCTGCGTGCTCCTCGTCTAACGAATCCAATACTGATGTGAAGTTGGCAAAGTTACATTTCGACGTAACTTTGTCAGGAATCTGTCTCATGACGGCGTTCAAATAGTAATTCATCCTGTAAAATTTCAAACATTAGAATATTGTTAATTGAAAATGGATAAAACATAATATTACAAAATTAACTTAACCGAACTGCAACTAATATACGCAAAAAAGAACATATAATGGAATAAAGAAAATTAGTGTAATTAAAAATTAAACAACAAATTATAAAAAGCGAAAAAATAATTTTTGTAAAATTATTTATTTGAATTGTTTAATAGTTTATTTAACATTTATTTTAATTGTTTATTGAATGTTAAATTCTTTATTATTTATTTCAACTGCTTATTTAATTTGTTTCAATTGTTTATTTAAATTATTTGTTTTAATTATTTATCGAACATTTAAACTTTTATTTAAATTATTATTTTTAATTGTTTAGCTGTTTATTTAACATTTATTTTAATTGTTTATTGAATGCTTAATTTGTTATTATTTGTTTCAATTGTTTATTTAAATTATTTATATTTATTGGTTATTTAAATTATTTATTGAACATTAAATGTAAATATTTAATTATTTATTTTGATGTTTAGTTGTTTATTTAATATTTATTTTAATTCTTAATTGAATATTTAATTTTTTTTATTTTAAATGTTAGATATTTATTTCAATTGTTTATTTAAATTTTAATTACTTATTATTTGTTATTTAAATTATTTATTTAAATTGTTTATTTAATTATTTCAATTATTTATATTTTAAATAAAATGAAATAAAAAACAATTCAATTAAATAAAAAAAAAAAAATGGGCCACATTTCCAGGCGGCCCCAGACGCCTTCTGGAACCATCTAGGTCTTCGGGATTCGCCACCTGCTTCGTTGCAAGTAGCTCCAATGGCAGATAGAAACTCCAATAAAATTGAAACCCCATTAATTATTTTTGTTCTACAACCATTTTTTAACTGAATTTTCAACAAATAAACCCTCAACAATTCAAGAAATCCATTATTAATGGCAACAATTCAAGAAATCAAAGATTAATGGTAGACAAAAGTTTCAAAGCTTACATTCTTAACAGAAATGGAGAGCTCCGATCTGGGTCGTCGATTTTCCTTGCTTGCATATGGTGGTTTTGCTACATGAACTTTCTCTATTTTTCATTCTTTAGGTTGGTGTGAGGACAAAAATGGATTTTCAATTTTTTTTTTTTTGTTTTAAATGATTTTTCATTTTTTTTATTTAAAGTCAACAGCCATTTTGAAAAATTGTAATGATCAAAAAGTCATATGTCCCTATTTCCTCTAATAAACTCTGAAATATAGGTTGGACAATTTAAAAGATTGTTACTAAAATAACTCAAAATCAATCCACTCATAAATGTTCAAAACTGATACTTTTTACCAAAAAGTCAAAATTCGCAAGCAGGCCCTAGAGAAAAAACAAAATCAGGCATGTTAACTATTTATATATCCAAGAAAAACCAGATATACAAAGCACACAAGAAGAAAACCTACACTCCGTCTCCCTCTCACACTCTTTTATCCACGTCATTATTCCGGCATCTTCTCCGACGACTCTCCGGCGTGTTCGTAAAACCTTAAAAACAATGAAAATGATTAGAGATGGATGAGGAGCTGCCGGCTATCCCATTCACTATGTCAATCTCGTACTCCGACTGCTTCTCTGACCTCCTCTGCGGCGAGGACTCAAATATTATCTTAGGAGAAGTTTCGTTAGAATGCTCATCGGACCTGGATTCTAAGTCTCCGGACGTCGAAGAATCGATAACCGGACTTATTGAAGACGAGCGAGATTTTATCAAAGATTTTCATTCAACTACTCACTACCTCGATGCATCTACTAGAGCAGAATATGTTGCATGGATTATCAAGGTACTTCAGTTATTTTTCTACCTTGAACAGGTCGGTCACTACGTTTTAACGATTCAATTATGAAAATAATATCACCGACAATGATCATTTATTACATAGAAACATTAACGTTCCTCTATCGGTCATCGCAGTGGCGCATTTTAGCACGGCCAGCTGTGCTAGTATGCGCCGGGGGCTAAATCAACGTTTCTATCATGGTCAGAGACTCAGAGGGAGTCGAGTCATGTAACGGTTTTTTCGGCGCAATATAGATTATACGGCGCACTTTGTACTGGGGAGAGAGACAGAGTACTGAATTCTGAATTTTGTTTTGCGTGTGCAGGTGCAAAAAAACTATGGCTTCCAGCCATTAACGGCGTATCTCTCCGTCAATTACTTTGATCGTTTCCTCCACTCTCATCGTTTGCCGGTGAAACTTCCGTTATCATCGAATACTTTGTTTTTCATTTTTATTCTTATTCTTAATAAATTATATTAATTATATTGACTTTTCAAAGACCATTGAAAATGACTTCACTATAAAAATCTACATTACTTCTATTCTAGTAAGTACTGTGAAAGTGTAAAGCTGTCTACATTTATTTAATCTAGTAAGATTAATTACTTAATCATTTTATTATGCGCATGTTTTGTTACAAAGTACAAACTTTATTATTTGTGCTTTAGTTATTTAATTTTTGGGTAGGTACATGTTCTTGTCTAGCCATTTAAATGACATTATACGTGTTGGTACTCTGGAGCAAAAAGTCACACAAATAGTGTACATGTACTAAAGGGTGTTCCCATGTACAAAAGGCAAGAGGATCGAGCCTCGTGTCCATTATCTAGCTTTACTTATTTATATTAATCTGAAATATGGTTATGGGAAACTGAATAATTGAGCAGATTTATTGAAGAAAGTAAATACATTGACAATTTCATAATGCCATATTATTCTATAGATAATTTATGTACGTGAATGATGACGATAAGATTCCCATTTGATTTTAAGCATGCTTCTGTAACATGTTAAAAGACTGTCCATTTGTCCCCTTTTGATTTACTGACGACTTTGGAATGCGAAACCCAGTTGGATTATTTATATAGTCATTACTAATGCAATTTATTATACCGTTGAGTTTGATCTAATACTGTGTGCTAAATATGTACTACAACTACAGAAAATGAATGGATGGCCATTGCAACTGTTGTCTGTTGCGTGCTTGTCATTAGCTGCTAAAATGGAGGAACTTCTGGTTCCTTCTCTATTGGATCTTCAGGTAATTTTCCCATGCAATACAGATTTCAAGAAAAGCTTAATCATCCTTATCCAAAAAAAGTAAAGCTTAATCATTTGAAGTGACCGTTATTGAGCAAATTTTCCTTTCTTAGGTTGAAGGTGCAAAATTTATTTTTGAACCGAGAAATATCCAAAGAATGGAGCTGATTGTGCTGCGTGCATTAGATTGGAGGCTAAGATCCATTTCTCCATTTAACTATCTCAATTTCTTCGCAAACAAGATTGACCAGACTGGAAGTTATACTATGTTCCTTATATCAAGAGCCAATGAGATTATTCTGTCAAACATTCAAGGTATATTGAAGTACCATCTTTTTCAAACAGACCTATATTATATATACATATTGGAATTGTTCTCCTAAGCATTGGTGCTTAGCTTAAACACCAAGTGACGTGACACATTACAATAGATCCCACCACCTATATTATAACAAAGGTAGAGAATAATGAAGATTATAACATAAATTTCTTGTTGGTTATGTAAACAGAGGCCAGCTTCCTTGATTTCAGACCATCATGCATTGCTGCTGCAGCCATACTTTGTGCAGCAAATGATCTGCCAAATTTCTCTTTTATAACTGCTCAACATGCTGAGTCATGGTGTGGTGGACTTCACAGGGTAAGAAATTAATACAATATCTGTATATGTTGTGCATATGTTTAACAGAGTGCAGCATTAAGCAACCAATTTTTATTTTTTTAATTATTTTTGGTGGCAGGACAAGATCAACGGCTGCTATCAATTGATGAGGCAGATTGTTATCAATAATATGCCAAGGAAACAACCAACAATGTTACCCCATCTCCGGGTCATGAGTCGGGCTAGTATGTCAAGTGACTCATCATCATCATCGTCGTCCTCATCTTCAATTTCTTATAAAAGGAGAAAATTAAATAATGGCTTGTGGATGGATGATGATGATAAAGGAAGCTCTGATTAAAAGAAAACTGGTGGTCCAAGTTTGGGTAAAAATAAAATCCTCAATATTTTTTTGGGAGGATTGTGAGGTAAAATTGACACGAGTTATAGAGTTTGGACAGTTTGAGAGATTTTTTAATAACTTTTTTTTTAAGTGGGCATAGCCATTCATTTATGAAGGCTACGCAGATTCCCAAGGGAAGGGATTTGGTACATATTATTTTGGTGCAAGAAGAGATTGTTTAATACTAGTGGAGTGATGGAATGCGCTAATGAAGTGGGGAGTGATTGAATTCAAAGGCAGCATTGATTATTGAATGAAATGAAGAGATTGCGGGACCATAGGGATTCATGGGATCGTATAAGTCAAGTTCCTCATCTTGGTAGCCATCATTTCTTCATCTGCTATTGAACAGAGAAAGTAAAAAGAAAAGGGGGAATAAGATTGGCTCCATCCTCCATTTAAATAGGCTTTTTTTGAGTCTACGAAGTGACAGTGTGTACGCGCTTACATTGTATTAGACACGTGTGCATGCATTTTTGCTTTTTTTTTGGCGGTAAAAAAGCTATTTCTTTTGAGTGTTGTACGTGAGTGCATTGGATGCAGGCTGTATTAATTTTTTTCATTTTTTTTTTTTAACCAAAAGAGAGGGAAAGAACATTTCTTTCTTTTCTTTTCTTATTGGCTAAAGTTAGCCCAACCACCATACAAAGGTCTTTGGGGCCTTTTTTTTGGGCGGTTGTTGCTTTACGAGTGTTGTAATTAAATTATTGAAATCAAACATAATTTTATATATTTTTTATCCTCTTTTCATTGCTCCCCTTCCCCCATGTGAATGACAATGAAGAATTTGTAGCTTTGCTATTTGTTTTATTAAAACTTTCAGAAAAAAAAAGTTAGAATTTTGTGAAACAGGCAGGGGCTGATGGGTTTTGTGCAGATGAAGGGACTAGGAATCGGTCCCTCAAGCAATAAAAGACTGATTCAAATCAATGAATATGACCCATGCCTGCATCTCTCGACGGTTCTTGATTTTAGACAAGTGCCTCTACTTACCTTTATCTAACCTGTCATTCTAGTGTTTGATGATGAATTATGGGACTTAGGAGTTGGGACCATATCCATGCATGGGAATCACCATTCCTACAACTGCCCAAACTCATCGTTGCAGTGACCTATGAGCAATATTGAGTATGTTCGGTAAACAGTATTGAAGTGTATTGTGTAATACGAGATGTAAGATTTTAGCTTCTTCTATAGTCTATATCTATAATTCATAATATATTAAAATATTACATCAAGGGAGAATAATTTTTTGGACGATCTTAACCTCCATATAATTCAATTATTTCAATAATATCTTACTTTTTCTTTTTTCGATATGTAATAAATACTACATGATTATTGTCATTTATAAAATTTGTGTTATTAATTCTCAATTAATTAACATTTACATTAACCTAGATTTAGTGAATTTTTACTGATGAATCTTGAATTACATGAATCAAGAGTTATTATGGATAAATTTATTCATATTCATGTATTTAAAAATTTTAATGGGTGTTTAGATTTGTGTATTAACAATTAATTTTTATGAATCAAATGTAATATAAAAGTATTGCTCATTTATAGTATTGCATCATTACAAAAAGTTCGAACCATAAAAATTGAGTTTTGAGAGTACAATTTTATTCTCTTAAATTTCTATGCTAAGTTTTATTTTCTTTAATTCGTATGAAACTCGTCAAAATTCTCCAACAAATTGGTATCAAATATTTTTTTACATCACTTATAAAGTTTTTTACAATAGCGTGCAATACACGTTCAATTTTGACTAGTGTGATCAAATATGTCTAGTAGAACAAAAAGCTATGTTTACACTGGTTTATATTTGAAAACTAATGTTTATTGGAAAATTGAGAAGTTCTATTGGTGATACGCCAAGCAAGCCCCTAAAAATATTGCTCAGCATTAGAGATAAGTCGACCATGTCATTAAACATACCTCATTCTTTTAGGGCTTTTTTGTTATGCTAATTGGATGGGCGAAAAAAGGACATTTAAGATTTTTTTTGATGTCATATATGTTAGGGAGAAGTTATAATGAGATTATAATACAGAGCTTTGTCGTGTATATCGTTCAAATGAGTCATCATTTTGTAGGGTCTTGTTAAAGGAGATCCCACACTACATGGCTTAACTATGACCTACTCTACATATAATGCATATTTAGTATGTAATATGAAAAGCGATGCAACTCAACTATATGAAAAATACAAAACATATCATTAGATGCCATGAAAACAATTGAAGCTTGTTTATTTTTCAATCTAGCCTATACTTTTCAACCAGTACCTACAATCTACATGCTACTTAAATTCGTCCTCAAAAGTACCAATTACTAAGTGTGAAAGTTTGAAATCAATACAAAATCATTTTTACATTGCTTATTTTGTTTAAATTATAATCTCATTATAATTCAAAGGTCAAATTTGGATTTTAATTTTAATCGTACATTTCATATGACGCACAATTATTATCCAGTTGTTTACTATTCAATTCTATTAATTTATAACGTCAGCGACTTAAAATTTCTTCATATTAATTCCCATCAAACAGCTGTTCTAATGGACCCCACTAAAGAATTGTAACGAGGTAGGAACGACTTTTTGCTGTATCAAATTATTATACATCACCTTCTTGGAATGACATTTAAAAACCAGCTTTGCAACCATGAGAAAACACATAATCCAGCTTTTAGTTTCACACACACACATATAGACGCGTCTCTCTAAACGTCGTGCATGAAGCACAAGTGGGTCGTTTAGTATTTGGAATTTAATCTTGCAAGTGGAGTAAGAATCCCACCCGTAGTCCAACCATGACAAAGAATGATCGATTGAACATAGTTAGATGTTTCTTTATTGCACCTAATGTCCGAACAAAACATTTCCTTTTTCGAGTGATGAAAAAGTTCATGAAATGTACGTATTTATGTTATTCAAGTAAAATATGATTAGTTTTAAAGCCAAAAATAAATAAATAAATAAGAATATTCAAGAAAACAAGTCCAAATTAGCTTCTCATGACCATTTTGAGTAATGAATCTAGTCACAATATAGATAATCGACATTGATAAGATAAAGTCTTGTTCAAATTATATCACTTTATTGAGTTTTTTCCACTATATTCCTCACACAATCCAAATGGGAATAGTGAACATATTTAAAGATATGAAAAGATTTTATGACGATTTCATGAACATTCTATCTTCAATCGACATTGATCTGCCGAAATTTCACTCATTATGAAAATTCTCAATTGCTACCTCCAATAAGAATCCAAGACAGGTATTAGTTCCAATCTGGTGATGAAATATTTTTAAAATTTTATGTGATTGCTTTCATGTGCCCATGTAATTAATTAGGATTAATAAGATCATTTTCTTTGGAGTTAATAGACTGAGAAGTAATAAAAAAAAAAAACAAAAATTTTCGTCATTATTCATTGTTTCTGTCACATTATCCTTATAGTTAATTAATTTCTAACATCATCATTCAAAATTAAGAGATTATCCTCCACATTGGAGTATTGATTAAACAAACTTATGGGTTTGTTAGGTGAATAACATCCAAAACCAAATAATATTATAAATTAGAAGTTAATCATGTTTCTACATTTACTTGATGTTTTTAATAAATGTGGACCCTTGAAAAATTTTGTAACAAGGTGGCATTGAAGCTTATTTAATTAATAAAATTGATTAATATTTTGGAATTTTGTCAGCAATAGGTTCCCACTGAGATGCCCTTTTCATTAGTGCCACATGAAGAAGTTTGATAGGTAGGAGATAGTTGATGAATTAATAGACTACTTATAATTCAATCATAATAGCTACATATATTGGGAAAGTGACTAGTAATAAAGATGACAAATATTTCAAAGTCTAAATGTGTCATATGAGTACTTATTTCTAAGTTTTGATTTTTTATGATCATTTTAAGTTTAGGTATTGAGATTAAACGCGGTTAAGAGATCAACAATTACACGTAGCTAAGTTAATAATAATGAATAGAGGGTGAGAAAAAAAATTCTTGAAATATCATTTGACCGTCTTGTTAAAGAGACAAATTTTTGTGATTCAAACCATTACTTGATCATTACAGAACGAACATAGTAAAAGAGTCATGTCAATTTCCTATTTAAAATGCTATCGGCACTACACGAGCCTTTCTGTCATTACATGAAATGATGGTTGGGATAATTGGCTCTAAATTTACTACCCGTGCATAAAAACTAAAGCAAACACTCCCCCTCTACACCCAAAACAAAACACACACACCAAAAAAGGAAAAGAGAAAAAGCAATGTTATTTATAAAGTGACAAAACTGGAAAGAATTTTAGGACATATATATGATCTTTCATCTTTGTATTTATTACTCCTTTGATCTCATCAAAAAATGCTCTTTATTGGGAATCCTAAGTACTGCCATCTAAAAGCCAAAACTACTTTTATTTCTCCCGGTGTAAACTTTAGTGGCTGGAGGGGTATAGAGGAGCGTTCTTCTGTCATTGTTTGTTTACTTTTTTTACAAGATTTTTCAACTTTTTTTTGGTCATGACAAAGATAGAGGCCCCTTGATATGAGCTTTTGAACCTTATTATGATTATTCTTTGATATTGAAAACCATGCTCGTGGGGTTCCTAGAAAAGATTCAAAAGTTGGCATGATTTGAATGTTTGTGGAGATAGCTGAGGTTTTATGCTGAATGCAAGATGGCATCACTTTGGCAGCAGCCTTTCGATTGTGCTCATTGCTTAAGTTGGTCAAACTTACTTTTAAGTTACTTATTTTGTCAAACATATTCTCAAAGTTACTTTTCTTGAAAGTAAGTCAAACAACTCAATTCTATGACTACTTGTTGTGCTCACCTTGTTGTCAATCCTTTGTTCGTTACTCCATTTGATTCATTAGTATGGTTATTTAAGGAAGTTTAGAGAACAATAAGGAAGAAAAATTGGGAAAGGAAATCGCTCTCAATTATATGTATTTTGTGAGATATGCTTACATAAATTATCGTATCATTCAAGTATCTTTAGACTTTAGAATTCATTGTAATCATTATTTGGAAATCAATGCCGAGAAGTAAAAGTAGGGTTTGTTAAACGATAGCTCGAGCTTATAATTGATTTCTCTTGATTTAGATATGCTTAAATATATATTTATATACGCTTTCAAAACAATTTTATAGTTCATCATATTCACTCATTTTATAAATTCTATACAATATTGTGTTGGACTAAATGTTAGTGAACAATTACCGAATGGAAATACCGGATTTACGCATATCGTATGTGCACCTTACCGTCTATACAACTTAACGTATATACAACTTAAATACCAAATTTGCACATACAAATTTTGCATATATCGTATATGTAGTAACTTGGATACTATCCAAAACATAGCAGATTAAATTACAATAAACCGAACAAATTAATCTACTTAGTTAAAATATAACAGATTAAATTCCAATAAAACAGGACAAGTAAACAAATTAGCCAAAAGTAAGAAAATTTTAACCGATACCTGTGTGAACACAGTTTCCTTAAAACAGAATTGCCCTCTCACCATAGGCGCTAGAGGTTTGATTCGGATGTCTGTCTCCCAGGATACAATAGATAAACAATAGAATTTGAGCACATCAAATACTACTATATCGAACAGAACTTGTATTTGAACAATATCACCAAAATACTTCCGGACAGACAAAGGACTGTGTGACTATGTAGTATGCAGACCAAA